CTACAAAGCCGGGACGGAGCACGCCGGGTTCTCACCGGACCAGGCTCTCACATCACCCAACGCGAAGCGGCGTGAGGTATTCGGCGAGTCGCATGAAGGGTGCGCTGCATCCTGCTAAGGGTGTTCGGCATCTTAAGCTTACTTCCTTGCGTACGGATGACAGCTGCGTATTACATCAATCAATTTCTGGTCCTTTCACTGCTTGAGACAGTTGTAAACACTGTGTAACTGCCTCGAGGGTGCTTGACCATTTTAACACAACGTGGTGCGATCATCCCCCTTGCGCGGAGTGAGGATTTTCGACCCCGCACAACATGATCTACTCGACCACCATTATAGTTACCGCAAAAAAAAAAAGTAAAAAAAAAACAACGGCAACCTGGTTGCCGAGCTCACGAAGTGAATTGGCATGTTTTACAACGTCGTTGCCAAGTGAGGAAAACCCAATCCCGACGGCAAACACCGAGGGGGGGCGGCACCGGGGGGAGAACCGGGGAACGATCTTCATGTTCCTTTCGAAATTACAAAAAAGCATCCTGTTCTCGAGTGGTGTAGTTGTGGATTGATGGACGTAGCATGGAGGACACCATCTTCATCCATCCTTGCTATTACATCGTGGCACATTCCATGTGCCCTCGTCTAGTTGTCGATTGCTGCCTCAGGCCTCCTGTACGAACCTTAAGTAATGGGCACGGTTGCTGGAGCGCTGGTCAACCGCTGTACACAAGGTGCTTTTCCCCGTGCTTTAGCAACACACACACGCATTCGCAATCTAGGCGCTGCCAAAGCTGAAGGAATGGGTGGAGTGATACCATCAGGACGCATTCGCGGCTGTGCTGTATCGCGCTGTGTAGGCGATCGCTGAATAAACCATTGCTGACTGCTTAGACTTACTTGCGCATGTGCAATGTACCCGCAACCATGTACTGCTGCTGACATACCTCCTCCTGCGTACATGTGCTGGACTGTTCTCTCCGACGCGTTATGCAGTGAAAGGACGCTCCTGAATTATCGCATGGCGTCTATACATCGTCGGCGTGGTTCTCATATCCGTCAAAGACTCAACGTAGTCACACGACAACGATACTCATACCCGCCAAGAATCCACCCACTTACACAACACGTGCACAAACAACGGAAAACAAAGGATTTTTTTTTCACAAGACGTAGTCTATTTTCAAGTAAAAAACGACCGACGGTGGACAACGACGTTCTGAGAGTATTTAATTAGGGTTATGATTGGAATTTCGGGACAACACGGTTGCTAGTAGTCGATTGATTTGTGTACCTTGGTTGACGGGACATTTCGGATGTGAAGTACATGTTGCCCTTGACCTGGGAATCAGCAGCGCGCTCCTGCAGACATGCCATGTCACCGACTTTTCAAATACAAGTACGATAGGTATGACATCGGTTTCGTCCCGTCACGGAGGCACTTCGTGCACACCGAAACCATTGTCCATGTAGACTACCCGGGATTTCCGATGGGAGTAGTATGAATGTATTGAGATGGAAGAGTGCATCCCACCCAGACTCTTATCGGTGGAGGGAGAATAACAGAGACTAGTCTACTTTCTTTTTTTTTCGGGAGTTCGATACCGGAAGCGTAATCACAAGAACCAAGGAAAGGTGGGGGATCGATACAGTCGACCCCGCTCTAAGGACGCACATGGTTGTTCCTGAAAACAAAGCGTCCTCAAAGCCGGGATGCGTCCTTAAAATTCAGGGGACGATAGCTCACCATCCCCGGGGCCAATGGAGGCATGCTATACCTCAAACTACGCGTCTTTTGCTAAGGAAGGGGGTGGAACGAAAACTCAGCATCGTCGAGACGACTGGCAACCGTTTGTTGACGTCGAACATATTTCCAATACTTGAAATGAGATGTACAGCAGTCAGGGACGTGTTGAAAACAACTAAAGTACACCAGTTTGTACTTGGCCAACCTATGTGCTGCATTGCCGGCAGAGGAAGGAGGAGGAAAGTCCAAGTAGACATATTTTTATCTCATTCTTGTGAAACAAAAAAAAAACGAGCGTATTTCAGCGTCGCACCGAGGAACACCAGTACATATCACTATCNATGGAGGCATGCTATACCTCAAACTACGCGTCTTTTGCTAAGGAAGGGGGTGGAACGAAAACTCAGCATCGTCGAGACGACTGGCAACCGTTTGTTGACGTCGAACATATTTCCAATACTTGAAATGAGATGTACAGCAGTCAGGGACGTGTTGAAAACAACTAAAGTACACCAGTTTGTACTTGGCCAACCTATGTGCTGCATTGCCGGCAGAGGAAGGAGGAGGAAAGTCCAAGTAGACATATTTTTATCTCATTCTTGTGAAACAAAAAAAAAACGAGCGTATTTCAGCGTCGCACCGAGGAACACCAGTACATATCACTATCGTCCCGGCGGAGACCAAAAGCTACCCTGATGGCTTTTCCTTCCACATTTCGCGAAGAGTTCCCTGAACCTCCCCCCGCGGATTGGCTCTACGGCTCTGTTGAGTTTCATGAGTGAACGACTGAACGGTCTTCGAAAGAAAGTACTGCGTCTCACGGTACTCGCCACCCCTTCCCTTCGCGTACAAGAACAGATAGCGACTTCACCACATGCCTTTCGACTGAGGCTATATCTCGAACGGGTAGTCTTTCTGCGAGGATATGTTTACTTTCTAAAATTACAGATAGCGCTCGCAGTTAAGAAAAATTCTGCTAAGAAAAAAGGCTCAACTTTGTACGAAAAATAAGAAAAAAGGGCTAAGAAACATAGCTCAACCTCGGCCACAACGTAAGAACGCCTCAACAAGAAACGTGATGGTGCCATACCCCCATAACATCAGAAATTTGCGGTGCTCCCGACCCCCTTCCAAGCTGAACAGAAGTGCATTTTTTTGTAGGGGGCAGAGTACCCCCCCCGCGCCCCTGCTGTTCACAGTGAGTGCTGTACTGTAGAACTACCACACATCGCGGACAACCATATACTCTCCGCTGTTGTACGGCTTTGCTGGCACTCTCCACCACCTCTCTTGAGGGCTTGATGATGTGGATTGTCCTCACAGATCAAAAGACAGAAAAAAGGAAAAACGAAGTAGTCTACTTGGTGCAGTCCAAGGAATAAGAGGATCGGGAGGATGCGACAGTCCAAAGGAAGGAGAAATGCGCGGGCGTCAAGACGCCGAAAACAGGCGAACAAGGTCGACCTCGAACCAGTCAACGCCAATGATATGGGGATGGAGTGTAGACGCATCGTAGAACGCGTTTTCGTTTGAAGTTGGCGTCTTGTTTGAGAGTAGATGTGACAGATTTGCGTAGAATAGGGTAAGATGTTATCATGAACGAAGAAGAAAGGGCTTTTCCAACACGGAGATGTAGCATGAATCAAAGCATTTGTTGGATTTCAGCTTTTACAAGAGGACATCAACGCAGTAGTATTTTAGCAAGCTTACGAACACATATAGGATACCATGAGGATTGTCATTGGTTTTCTTTCAAGTTGAAGAGGAGATATTTTTACGATGTAAGTGACAGTAGAAATAAGTCCTACATATGTTGTTGTACTTCGTATTGGTTTAATATTCATCTAGAGTATGAGACATTAAGTGAAAGTTTTCTGAGGTACATCTGCAATTGTCGGAAGGCAAAAAAAAAAAAAAATGTCATCTACGAAATGGACGACTTGGGCCGGTACATCGACCCAAAAAAAGGGATTGGTAAGGCTCGAACCGACATTGACGTTTTTAACTGCGGGCGCTATCTGTAGGATCGAACGTCCTCCAAGCGAGATATAACCTCGCCCTCGGTGAGGGACGAGCTTATGCACGACTTGGAGGAATCTATGCATACCAACACCCAGGTGCAGCTGCAGCAGCAGACCGCTCGCTCCTTCTGCTGTCTGTGCGTCGCTACTTCTGCACTCACTGTGGTGCGTGATGCATGCAACTAGCGGCCCGCAGGACACAAACAGGGGAGTACGCGGCAAAAAAATGTGGGTACCCCATTATCGTATTTTCTGCCGGGCCCCCGGTGCTCAGCTAAATAAGTTTCCTTTAAGCGGGGAGTTTCCCGAACGCGAGCGTCCTTAAAGCGGGTTCGACTGTGCAAGGAGACAAACACGATCATGAAAGTTTCTAACTTCAGAGCAACCGCGACACTGCCGGACGTTGCACAGGACGGCGACTCACCAAAAGACGGGGCAGAGGAAGATATGGCGGTTGGAGGATCCCGTTCTCAATGTGCCGGAGGTTCCCAGGCCACAGCGAGCGTGTGTGAGAGACAGCCAGTAGTTTGGATGGACTTGTGAAGAGGGTTGCTCGTGTGCGCTTGTGGTGGACAAACGATGCCGCACCAATCGAAGGATGTGAGTGCAAGTTGCTTTTCACGGCGACTGTTTCCTCCAGTTGACTTGCTCTGGCAAGTGCCCTTTCGCCTGGGCTGCGGACTGTGGATGCACAGAGAGCCAGAGACGGAGCGTGCTTTAGGGACATGCCTTCTCTCATTTATTGGGGCATGGCTGAAGAGCGCTGCCGCAGAGGAGTTCTGCTGTCCTTCATCCATCTTTTTTTTTTTTCTCCCATCAATGGATTTTGTCGTCTGCCCCTCTGGCCCCTCTACTAAATAGGTAGACGACCCAACCGGGGGTCACACAGGAGGGGGGGTTGGACCCCCTCCTGCGGTTCCTGCCTGAGATAATTTTATCGCGAAAAGGGTACAGCAATCCCTTCCCTCGCGACTTATGAAGCCGATCAAGGTTACTAACCTCGGACCTACCATCTCCGCGGACGGGAAGGCCGACCGGGAGATCACGAGCCGCAGCTGCCGAGCGTGGAAGTACTACCGTCGGAACAGTGCTTCGATGTACGACAGGAGACGGGCCGACCGCCAGCTCAAGATCCGGCTACTCCAGGCTGAAGTGGTGGAGACTCTCCTATATGGGTGCGCCTCGTGGAGCCTAACAGCGGAGCACTACACGAACCTCAGTGGGACCCGCCGCCAGTTCGTTACACGGTGCATCGGCTGGAGCAAGCGGAAACGCTCAGACCGCCCCCTGTCCTATGCCCAGGCCCTCATCCAGGCAGGCTGCGAGGAAACCATCGAGGCCACCGTGCGCAAACGGAGACTGTGTTTCGCGGGCTTTGTTATGCGCATGGAGGACAACCGCCTCCCGAAGGGCATACTGCTAGGAGCGATGGCGGGGGGGGGATACCGGGGCGGGCAGGAGAGCAACTGGGTGTCTCGTCTAGGAGAGGACCTCGTGTCCTTCAACATGGGAGACGAAAAGGAAGGGGGTAAATGGAACGAGAGCGCCAAGGACCCGGAGGTATGGTACAACAAGGTCGAGGACGAGGCGGCATGGCTCATGAGGAAATGGCACAGACAGGCAGGAGGCGGAAGCGTCCGCCAAGCGCCAGCGCGCGAGGGAAGCAGAAGCAATAGAGTACGGCCATCTCAGGACCGAAGCGAGAGTCGAGGAAGCGGCGGTGGCGGGGAAGAAACGGCGACCGGGCACTGCTGTAGAAGCGAGTAAGGCGGCCGAGGCAGNGTGGCGAACTATGTACCCGGCTGATGTTGTTGCGCCCTGTTTCCCTCCCTGCTGTATGCTATACTCCTTTATTTATGTCCGTTGTATTGCCTTCGGCCTCTGTGCTGTGTTTCTTTTTTTTTCATGTCCTCCCTGCCTACTGTACGGGATTTGAATGTNCATGGCTCATGAGGAAATGGCACAGACAGGCAGGAGGCGGAAGCGTCCGCCAAGCGCCAGCGCGCGAGGGAAGCAGAAGCAATAGAGTACGGCCATCTCAGGACCGAAGCGAGAGTCGAGGAAGCGGCGGTGGCGGGGAAGAAACGGCGACCGGGCACTGCTGTAGAAGCGAGTAAGGCGGCCGAGGCAGCACTTGTGGCGAACTATGTATGTACCCGCCTGATATTGTTGCGCCCTGTTTCCCTCCCTGCTGTATGCTATACTCCTTTATTTATGTCCGTTGTATTGCCTTCGGCCTCTGTGCTGTGTTTCTTTTTTTTTCATGTCCTCCCTGCCTACTGTACGGGATTTGAATGTGAAAGTACAAACGGTAGTGCGGGCTAATGCCCAGAGAAAAGTGCGGGAGACTCCCCACGGAAGGACAAAAACAGGGGACAGGATCTAGTAGCCCCTGCTTGAGCAGCTGATCCTGGCCCCATCCTAGGCAGTCCTCTACCTTCCCTTGGCAACAGTTACTGCTGTTCCACACGAGTTAATAACAAGTGAGTTCGTCTTCACGGGTCTCCCAGATTGCACCGCGCGTGCATATCTTTTACACTTGGCGTTTTCGGCATAAACGTACAGCGTGCTTTCTGGGGTTTGTGTTTGGGCGACTCGAGCCTTCTGCACGCAGCTTTCTTCGCTTTCGTCTCCACGCAACTTAGCTTTGCCTCGCTANTGAGTTCGTCTTCACGGGTCTCCCAGATTGCACCGCGCGTGCATATCTTTTACACTTGGCGTTTTCGGCATAAACGTACAGCGTGCTTTCTGGGGTTTGTGTTTGGGCGACTCGAGCCTTCTGCACGCAGCTTTCTTCGCTTTCGTCTCCACGCAACTTAGCTTTGCCTCGCTGATCGGTATGTCTCAACTTAGCGTCGGCTCCTCGGACTCGGCTTCGGCCAGTCCAGAGCCCTCAGAGTGTTCTCGCTCGCTGGTGTCTCCACACAGTGCTTCGGCTTTCGGGCCGACAGCCGACGATGCCCAATCGTCGTTGTTGCCGTCTTTTGATGGCGCGAGTGCTGCCGACCCCATCGTAGAAGCCACCCGTTTGTCAGAGCTTCGCGCTCAACGCCGACGGGAGGAGTTCGTCTCCACGGCTTCTGCTGACGCTAACCCCATGGGTGTTGTCCTCAAATTGCCAGCACCCGCAAGCTTCGGTTTCCACCTCCGTCCTTTCGAGTACCCAGCCTTCTGTTTTTGCAGCCGCTGGTAGTGTGTCCCAAGTTTTCTCGCCGGAACCACACGTTGCTGATTCCACTCATCCCCTCACCTCCACCGCCGCTGAGCCTTCTGCTGTTCGGGCAGACATTGGCTTTGACAGTACTGGCTCTGTAGTGCCACGCTTGCCTCATGGCTCTGTTGTTGGCCGCACACTGCATTTCGATTACACTGTGCCGGCCATTCCTCCTTTTTCGTCGCGTAGCAGTCGCACACAAGCCGCCACTCGTGCCCAACGGCTATTTGACCGTCGTGCATCCGTTTCAGTGGCATCAGTGCCTTTGAATTTGACTGCTTCACATGCATCTGTTCCGGTGGTTTCGACTGCCTTTGCGGTTTCGACCGCTTCCAATGCAACCGTCTAAGTAGTTTCGACTGCCCCCGTTGCATCTGCTCCTGTCGTTTCGACTGCCGTGACTGCTTCCCTTGAACGTGATGCACCTGTTCCTATAGTTTCGACTACTTCAACTGCATTTTGTCGCTGCCTCGCAATTCCTACGCTCCCGACCAGATGGTTGTATATGCCCTCTTCCCGCCTGTAGCACTCGAGTGTCTGACCCTCTCATGACCTCGGCCCGCTCGTCTGAGCTTCGTGCTGCATGCCGGCGAGAGAGGTTCGCCTCAGCGTGTCTCTGCTCGATTCTAGCTTTGCACACATCTGTCTCGTTAGGGAACTTCGGTTCCAGACACACCACCAGTTGCTGAGCCCCGGCTCTCCGCTGTAGCCGCTGCCGTCGTTTGAGCTTCGGCTCGTTTGCTACAGCAGTTGCTTGACTGTTGAGCTTCGGCTCTTTTGCCAGGTTCGGTTTGTTTTGACAGCTTCGACTGCTGCATGGCTCTCTTCTCAGCTTCGGCTGTTTTTTTTTCTCGCCTTCGTGGCATTTGATGCTTTTATTATTTGTATATCTACTTGCAGCGTTTTCTTTTTCCCCCGCGGTTGTTGGGCGAAACTTGGCGTTGACGCTCCGTCGATCATGCAAGTAGCAGTATCTCTTGTCGCCGCACTCACCTTCCGGGTGAGCACCGTACAGCTCTGCTGCTGGCTGTGTGGGTATTCGTTCTCGTTCCTTCCCCAACAAATTCCGTTTTAGGACCAAATGATTGAGCGGGTGGTGTATCCCATGGTATTTCGTGTACATTTGTCGTAAGTGTGTAACCACATTATATGCACATAAACATCAAGAGTAGTCGAACCTAACCGGTTGATTATGACTTCGGTCACCCAACCCGGACACGTATTGTAGCTTCGGCTCACACCGTCTGTGTCTGCAGTTTCGACTGCTCGCAAACGGCACTAACCGGCGGTGTATGGCTTATTGTATGACTTCGGTCACCCAACCCGGACACGTATTGTAGCTTCGGCTCACACCGTCTGTGTCTGCAGTTTCGACTGCTCGCAAACGGCACTAACCGGCGGTGTATGGCTTATTGTATGACTTCGGTCACCCACCCTACTGGACACGTGCTGTAGCTCCGGCTCACGCCTGTGACAGCAGTTTCGACTGCTCGCCGTCCTCACACCGCGGTTTCCATGCCACTAGTTTAAGCTATGCCCCCACTTTCGACAGCCCGCCGTGCTCGCACCGCGGTTTCCTTACCTGTTGTTTCGACAACCAACCCCAATGCTAGTTGCTGCTTCGGTGTTTCTAGCTGTAACCTCGGTTACTGCTGCAGTCTCGACTGTAACCTGCTATTTCGCTACCTGCCGTCGGCTGCCTCAATACAGGACGCCGCTGATGCGGCCAACGGGTCTCGGCCCGACCTCCACGATGTGGTGAGCTGCCTCCTCGTGGCGATGCGGGCGGCCACTATGAACGCCACGTCTCCGGTGGTGTGGCCCGGCTGCGCCGTGGCAACTCCGGCATCTCCGGCGTTCCAGCAGCCCAATGCCGGCCGCGTCAAGGCCAAGCCGGTCCAGCCCATCGTGCGAGAGAGTAGCTCGGGCGAGGACTCGGGCTGGAGTTCCGCGGGAGCCTCTCGCCCCCCCCCGGATCCATCTTCATTGGCGGGCAATGGCCGGGCACGGCATTAGGCCAAGCGCCACACGAGCGGGACTCGTGGCAAGGGAGGCGGATCGGGCTCTGGTTCAGACCGGAGTCTCACCCGGAAGCACGGCTCTCGGAAGGGTCCTTCTTCCAGGCAAGTAGTTCCGTCCCTTATGGATGCGACTTTGAGTGATCGTTTTCTTTCACATGATAATGTTTTTTCACAGGCTTCAGCCCCCCCCTCGACTTCGGTTGTTGGTACGGTTTCGGCCCCCCCTCTTTCCAAGGACTCAGGGTATGCGTCGTGTTGCGTTTTCGGACCTTTACCCGCCTTTAGATTCCCCTGTTTCCNGAGGCGGATCGGGCTCTGGTTCAGACCGGAGTCTCACCCGGAAGCACGGCTCTCGGAAGGGTCCTTCTTCCAGGCAAGTAGTTCCGTCCCTTATGGATGCGACTTTGAGTGATCGTTTTCTTTCACATGATAATGTTTTTTCACAGGCTTCAGCCCCCCCCTCGACTTCGGTTGTTGGTACGGTTTCGGCCCCCCCTCTTTCCAAGGACTCAGGGTATGCGTCGTGTTGCGTTTTCGGACCTTTACCCGCCTTTAGATTCCCCTGTTTCCTCGGAACCCTTTGCACCTTCTGTCCGTTCTGCAGCATTCAATGCTGTAGACCCCGGACATGTACGTAGCGTTGAGTTTTCGAACTCACCCCCGGTTTCGACCATCCCTGTTTCTTTGGAAACCTCTGCACCCCGTAGCCTTTCTACCGCTCGCCATGCTGTAGATCCACGAATGATGCAGAAACCTGGGTTTTCGAACCTCGACCCCCCTTCGGCGTTTGCTCCACCAGTGCCGGGTGTTTTGCGTAGCATGCTGTCCTCAGACCATACCCCCACAGCTGCTTCGGTAGCCGTTGCCGCACCCCCCGCTGTCTCCGATGATCGTGCTTTGCCACTTCTTCTAACTCAGCACACACTCGTCAAGCATCGATCGATGCGACTGATGCAGCTGCTCGTAATGCTCATGTAGCTACCGTTCAACGAGCGTACATCACCCTCAACTTGAAAAAGGTTGAGAATGTCCCTACCATGCCCTTCCCCGCTACTCTGTTGCCGANCGTAGCCTTTCTACCGCTCGCCATGCTGTAGATCCACGAATGATGCAGAAACCTGGGTTTTCGAACCTCGACCCCCCTTCGGCGTTTGCTCCACCAGTGCCGGGTGTTTTGCGTAGCATGCTGTCCTCAGACCATACCCCCACAGCTGCTTCGGTAGCCGTTGCCGCACCCCCCGCTGTCTCCGATGATCGTGCTTTGCCACTTCTTCTAACTCAGCACACACTCGTCAAGCATCGATCGATGCGACTGATGCAGCTGCTCGTAATGCTCATGTAGCTACCGTTCAACGAGCGTACATCACCCTCAACTTGAAAAAGGTTGAGAATGTCCCTACCATGCCCTTCCCCGCTACTCTGTTGCCGAGAGATGACTATCAGCAGCTTATTCGCACAACAAGAACGGCTTTGTCCGATATTTTGCTGTTGTGTGATGAGCAGAGTGAAGGTTTGACAGGCTCCGATTTTGTGCGTGGATGGGAACGTCCTCTCGAAACAAAAATTTCGAGTGCGATCACCCCCGACAAGCCCTCTAACGCCGATCTCGTCCTTGCCGTTACTGATTTCTTTCAGCAAGTGAAACGGAGCTTGGATGGAGGAGCCCTTGGACCAGACGCTTTCCAGCTATTGTTGCGTCACCTGGCGGAGACCGCCAAGAGTCGTTTTTGCGGCTGCAACAATTTGGCGTAGCAGATGGTGCTCCTTTCGCGGATTATTTTCGGGCTTTCTGTTTGTTAGTTTCGTCTGGGACTGGCTCTGAGCGTACTTTGGCCCCTAGTGTATCCTTGGTTCTCGAAATAGTGCGAAACTCGGTCGACAAGCAATTTCCGAGTCTGTCTCCGCTTTTGTACTCGGGTGTTTTGGCCACTGCGGTCACTCCCTTTGAGTCGATTGCGGTTATGTGGGAGACGTTCGCTTTTGGCGACTAATAAAACCCCGGCTATCGGTGCTTCATCTTATTTTTCGTTGACTTCGACCCGTGGCTCTCTGCAGCCTCGGCGGTCTAACCACCGCGCCCCTGCGTCGTCGGGCCAGTGGGCATCCGGCTCCGCACAGAACCCTGTAGTTTTGCCCGTGCAACCTCAAGCCACCTATCCTTTCACGCACAACTACAACTCCTGGCCTGCTTCGCAAGCCGACTGGTCTGATGTATACGCCCTCACCGCCAATTTTCGTAACACCAATGATCCTTTTTTATGGACTCCTTTGTTGACACAAGAGGCTCGTTCGCAAGCCTTCCGCGAAAACAGAAACCGCTGTCTGAACTGCTCGGGTGACGACCATTCCATGAAGCACTGTGCTTCTCCCTTCACGAATTCTAGTGGGTTTTTGAATCCCGAGTTGGGTCACCTCAATGACGACTCTGCTGCTTTTAGGCGTTGGCAACAATGTCGCATGCGATCCTTCAGGCGTAAGGGTTCAGATGGACGCAACAACAATCAGGGTAGACACCATCGGCACNAAACAGAAACCGCTGTCTGAACTGCTCGGGTGACGACCATTCCATGAAGCACTGTGCTTCTCCCTTCACGAATTCTAGTGGGTTTTTGAATCCCGAGTTGGGTCACCTCAATGACGACTCTGCTGCTTTTAGGCGTTGGCAACAATGTCGCATGCGATCCTTCAGGCGTAAGGGTTCAGATGGACGCAACAACAATCAGGGTAGACACCATCGGCACTCTTCTTCCTCCTCTCAGCGTAGAAACCACGCTGGGCCTCGCCGTTCCGACGGTGGGAGTTCCTCTCACAATCACCACCAACAATCACACCACGGTGGTCAAACCTCGGGACATTCCGCGGGGAACCATCATCATACACAACACACTTCTGGCAACACCCACCACCCTGGTGCTCTGTCCGTCTATCGACCCCAATCGCATGCTCAAACTGGTCCCTCGTCTGGCGTCATGGTTTCGACCAATCACAACGCACGCCAGCCTGGTAACTTCCACAATGGCGGCCGTTCGCGTACCGGATGACTCCCTGACGGTGGTTCGCCTCCTTCCCTCGGACTGCCTCAAAACAAGACGCGCGTGTATCACCCTCAGTTGCCTCTAGCACTCCGGTCTTAGGCAACGACAACAATACTTCCGTACATGTTTTCCCTGCGCGCTCTGTTGCCTCTAGCACTCCGGTCTTCAGCAACGACAACAATACTTGGGTAAATGCTCTCCCTATGCGCTCTGTTGTCTCTAGCACTTCGGTCCTAAGCAACCACAACAGCACTTCGGTAAATGTTCTCCCTACGCGCTCTCGCACTTCGGTGCTATCCAATGACAGCGGTACTCAGGTACACGCTGTTTCTTCAAGTGTCGATCAGGTCGGTCTTCAGCCAAATGCTCACATCCCACCTTCGCCATCGCACTTATCGTCTGCAACTACTGCACCCTCGCCTCGTCGGATTGGTGCTTCGTCGGAAACAAATCAGTCTGACGTGAGTGGTGCTGTCTTGAGGTGTGGGAACAGACCCGTTGGACCTTCGGGGCCAAAGAGTTCTCCTCGTTCGTCGAGCACCTCTCGTTCGCTGCCCCCGTCGTCTGCAGACAGGATCGGCAGTAGCCATGACCTTTGGACGATTGATGAAGAATTGCCCGAATTGATTGCCTCAGGTGCTTCTTCGGACACGCTCATCNCCGTTGGACCTTCGGGGCCAAAGAGTTCTCCTCGTTCGTCGAGCACCTCTCGTTCGCTGCCCCCGTCGTCTGCAGACAGGATCGGCAGTAGCCATGACCTTTGGACGATTGATGAAGAATTGCCCGAATTGATTGCCTCAGGTGCTTCTTCGGACACGCTCATCTCGTCTATGCTCGCTTCCGTTGAAGGTCCGCCTTCGACTGTTGCACCGATAGCTAACGTGACTGGTTCCGACCGGCAAGTTGTAGGGTCGAATTCGTCTGGCTTCGAATCGCTGTACCCCTGGTTCCGACCACCGGACATCCTCAGATTCCGCCACGCGACATTTCGACCGTGGGTCGTCTTTACAAGCCCCACCTTCTCCGACGCACGCTCGCACAACGGCACCCACTCTAGGCTGCTGCGACCGACGTCGACAGCGTTGACAGCACCGCTTCGGGAGGACGCCCCCGAAGTGACCTCCGAACAGCCGGCGGTCTCGCGTACCTTGTCACGGGGGAATAGCCAGGAGCGCCATGCTCGGTTCAGTTCTTCAACTAACCCGGCGTTGGCAGCCGTTCCCAGCGAAAGCGACCTGTTGCCGAACACCTTACGAGGCGTTTCTTCAGGTTTAGCATTGGGGTCCACCCAGCCCAGTGTTGCTGGCCCAAGTACGAAAAATCCGACTCTTGATACTTCGTCGGTTCCCGCTGTTACAAGGACCACCCCCATGGATGTGCATACTGTCCATCATGACTCCGCATCTTCGGCTGCGACTCCAGCTTCGACTAACAGTACTCAGGGCGCTCCGGCCTCTGTTGCTTCGGTCGTTTTCGACCCGTCTACCGAGTTTTTTTTTTTCTCATCATCGGACTCTGTCGTCTGCCCGTCTGGCCCTATCCTCCACTTCTACTAGCTAGACGACCCAACCGGGGTCACATAGGAGGGGGGGGTTGGACCCCCTCCTGCGGTTCATGCCTGAGGTATTTTTATCGCGAGAAGGGTACAGCAATCCCTTCCCTCGCGACTTACGAAGTAGATTATGGTTTACTAACAAACGAGCTTTGCAGCGCGTCTCTTTCATCCTAGACCAGGATTTATTTAGTGAGAACCCATGACCTGGCCCTTAGCAGGCTGCGAGGCTACCCACTAGACCACCGGGGCGACCGGTGTATTGTACTCCAGACATGGTTTCTTTTAGAAGCCGCTCTCCCCTTTTCTCAATGGATATCATCGACCTTTACGGTCGATGGCGTTGTTTACTCGTGTGCCGAACAAGTTTTCGCTGCAGAAAAAGCCCGTCTTTTCGGAGATCGCCGTGCTTTGCAGAACATCATGCGAGTTTCAGACCCGGCTTTACACAAAAAGTTTGGCCGTGAGGTCCGTGGTTTCGACCAATCTCTTTGGGAACATGAACGCGAAAACATTGTGGTCACCGGCTCTTACGCAAAATATAGTCGAAATTCCGAGTAAAGAAATCATCTCCTCGGATCTGGTGACAAAATCCTTGCCGAAGCCAGTCCTTACGACCGTGTTTGGGGCATTGGCCTCCAGGCCGATCATCCTGACGCTGGATGCACATCGTGATGGCGCGGCCTCAACCTGTTAGGCACCGCCCTACAGAACGTACGCAGTCTTTTAAGACACCGTGCCCCGCCTCCCGAGCGCAGCTCTCGTTAGCTGCCTCCGACCAACCACGTTCCGACGTCGTCCCTTCATTCTGCGGTGTATGAATTTAACCCTTCCACACACCAGCGCTTTCGGACGGCTTCGTGCCCTCCATCGACCGATCGATTCGAGTCATTTTCAATACGCTCCGAATGGCTCGTCGGATCACGACACCGCCGTTTGGGCCGTGTCTTCAGAATACATCCCGTCATCCTCCTCCTCGCTCCCAGAGCAAGGTCCGGATTTGGTTGGTGGTGTTGTCACCATCGATGACGACTCTTTCACCACCAGAATCCTCCTCCACAGCGGTTCGGCCTCTGTGCAGTTTGGGTGTATCGCTCTTTTGGATACGGGTTCTCCGCAGTCTTTTATTAGTGCTTCTGCATGGGAATCCATGAAAGCGGCTTCGGCTGCTTCGATGTTGTCTGAAAAACACACCCAACCTCGCTGTTGGGGTGGTTTTGGGAAACCTGCCCCGCTCCAAACTTCGACCATTGTCCGTTTGAGTGTTCAGTTTCTCCGTAAGAATCTTCCTACTTCCTCTCTTGCTGTTTGGGCATACGTTGTTCCTGACGGCGTCATGCATCATGACGTGCTCCTCGGCAGAGATAGTTGGATGCGGTTTAGTGACCGTTCTTACCACACTTTGCGTCCGAAGTGTCCTGGTGACCGTGTCTTTGGTGAGCTTACTTTAGCCCAACATGACACTTGTGGTGCCACTGCATTTGCTCACGATCTGTCCGCAACAGATGGAAGTCACCAACTTCGCTATGTATGCAAACATTCCGTTCAACTTCACCCAGAGCATAGCCTCATTCAGGTCAATTTGGTACGCAATGATGGTTCGCCTGCCCTTGTGGGTAGCTATTTCGTGGATATGCTCCCCCAGTGTGCTATGTTTTCTTCCGAGGAACATTTGTGCAAAATGGANCTTGTGGTGCCACTGCATTTGCTCACGATCTGTCCGCAACAGATGGAAGTCACCAACTTCGCTATGTATGCAAACATTCCGTTCAACTTCACCCAGAGCATAGCCTCATTCAGGTCAATTTGGTACGCAATGATGGTTCGCCTGCCCTTGTGGGTAGCTATTTCGTGGATATGCTCCCCCAGTGTGCTATGTTTTCTTCCGAGGAACATTTGTGCANTCTCACCACAGTTTGAGTGATGGTCTTGAAATTGCGGCTTCAGAATCCACCGCTGCTTCAGACAGCTGGGTCCCTGGTCCTGTTTCTGCGGGTGGCATTGATTCGTCTGCCACGCACTCCGTCTCTGACCCCTTTGTGTATAATTTACACGGGCGACCCATCCCGTCGCCAAGCAACCGAGGGGACTTTGGTTCCGCCAGTTGTCCCTCTTCGTCGCCTCCGCCTGCTCTTCTCGACCGGTTGACGCCAGAACAGCGTCAAAGTTTCTCCCAAGTCTGGGATAAGCTCCCCTGCCATCTCCGTGAGATTACTTTTGATCTCCACGGCCCGGGTTGGACTCCCGATGTCATTACTCAGCTTTGTAACTTTTTGTGCGAATACCATGATGTGTTTTCGAGTTCTCCGACCGACGTTAGATCTTGTTCCCTTTTTCCTTTTAAGCTTACAGTTCCTCCCGGCAGCGCACCCGTCACGTCTCGCCCCTACCGCGTTAATCCCCCGGTGGCGAAACAAGTTGACGCGATGCTTGACCAATATCTTGCGGCAGGTTTGATCCAACATTCGACCTCGCCATACTCGAGCCCTTTGGTAGTCATACCGAAGAAGTCTGGTGGTGTTCGCATCACCGTCAATTATCCTATGNCGCGTTAATCCCCCGGTGCGAAACAAGTTGACGCGATCCTTGACCAATATCTTGCGGCAGGTTTGATCCAACATTCGACCTCGCCATACTCGAGCCCTTTGGTAGTC